TTCTAAACCTATATTCCAACATATTATAAACTGGAAATTTTAGTAGAACTGGTTAAACTCTTAGACAATTATGACCTGCCAAATAAAATCAAGAGCATGTAAACAAGTAAACAGATTCAAAACAAGCAAACCAGTAATGGAGTGTCTACCAGCAAAGACCGGCCCAGGACCTGATGAACTTGCTGTGTGTCCTACCAGACCTTCAAAGAAGACCCAATGCTAACACTCCTCAAACTGTCCCATAAACTACAAAGAGAAGGGCCACTGCCTAAGCCATTCTATGATGTCAGCATCACCCTGATACAGAAGCCAGCTAAGAGTATAACAACAAAAAGAAATTATCCCAATTTTCAGATGACATGATCCTAACACTTAAAGTGTCCTAAAGATTCCACCAGAAAACTTTTAGCTCTGATAAGCACTTTAAGAAAATAGCAGAATACAAAATCAACACACAAAAGTCACTAGCCTCTCTATATATCAACAATGAAAATGCCAAAAAAGAAATAGAAGAAGAAAATAACCCCACAATAGCATTACAAAAAAAAAAGTCAAGAAACAAATCTAAACAAGAAGGCAAAAGACTTTTACAATGAAAACTTCAAACATTGAAGAAAGACTTTGAAGAATTAGAAGATGGAAAGATCTCCCATGCTAACGGAAATCAGAATTACATCATGAAGCCAGCAGTATTTATGAAAATGATTTACAGAGCTGATGAAACCCTACCAAAATTCCAACGATATTTTTCACAGAACTAGGAGAAAAAAAATCCTCAAATTTATATGGAAGCACATAAGAGCTTAGATGCCCAAAAAGCAATCTTAAGCAGAAAGCAATTCTTAGAGACATCACAGTACCTGATCTCAAATTATACTACAGATCTGTAGTAACAAAAACAGGCTAGTACTGGCACAGAAACAGACATGTAGAGCAAAAGAATAGAACAGAGGGCCCTGAAATAAAACTCTGGGCTTACAGGCCCCCTAATTGTTAACAAAAATGTTAAAAACGTGTATTGGGAGAAAAGCTTCTTCAGCAAATGGTCCTGGGGAAATCCACAGGAATAAGAGTGAAACTAGATCTGTATCTCTTACCCTACATAAAATCAAATGAAAAAATGGATCAAAGATCTTACTACAGACTTTACCCCCGCCTCCCTGAAATTGCTAGGGGCAAACACTTGAAGGTTTCGGCATAGACAATAACTTCCTAGAAAGGATTCTAATAAACTAGGAATAATCCCAATAACTGACAAATAGGTCACTTGAAATTAAAAAACCCTGGACAGCAAAGGAAACCATCCACTGTGTGAAAAGCCAGTCTATAGAATGGGGAAAAGTCTTTACCAGCTCTTATCTGATAAGGAATCGATATCTGGAATCTCTAAACAAAATTTTATATTCTAAAATTTAATACCAAAAAACCCAAATCATCCTGTCAATATGTAGGCTCATGAATTTAACAGATAGTTCTCTAAGAAAGAAATATAAATGTCAATAAATATGTGAAAAAGCATTCAATCCATCAGAGAAGTGCAAATTAAAACCTCTTTAAAAGTCCATCTCACCCCAGTCAGAATGGCTATCATCCATAAAAGAAATGACAGCAAATGCTGGTGAGGACGTGGGAAGATAGAAATCCTTATATCCTACTTGTGACAATGGAGGTTTGTGTAACCACTTCGGAAGTCAGTGCAGAGATTACTCAGAAAAATAATCCCTGAAAACGTAACTACCACATGACCCACCTATACCACTCCTGGAGTCAATACACGAAGAAATCTAAGTTAGCATACTACAGGTTTATGTATACATTTATTTTTATCACCACACTTTACAATAGCCAAGACTCAGAACTAGTCATGCCCATCAAACCAATGAATGAATGAAGAAAACAGGGTAAATGTGCAAAATACAATTTTATTCAGCCACAAAGAAAAAGAAATCATGACCTTTGCAGGAAATGGATGAAACTGGATATCAATATTTGAAATGAGACAAGTCAGACTCAGACAGACATAATACTAGGATTCCTCTCACATGTAGAATGCCAATTTAAATTGTGCATCATATATATGACATGTAACTGGAAAAGGACTATGGGGGAAGGAGAGAGATAAGAGAGGGTAATGGGAGGTGTGTATCCTCTGAGCAAAGGAGGCAACTTTTCTGGGAGGTGGCAGGGAGACAGCAAGAGGGGGAGGGGAAGGGGGAGGGGGAGGGCGGAGTCACTGACAATGAGAGCAAGCCATAAGGACATGAATGTGTGAAAAGGTCACAATGAAGTCCATTTCTGTGTACAATAACCTACCCCCGAAGAAACAAAACACTGGCCCTTTAAAGCTCTAGATTTCAGTGTTTACTGAGCTACTGGAATATACTCAGCTGTAAGGTTATATCTCATTTGATCTCCTCTGAGCCTGGGAAGTTGGCATTGTTACCTCCATCTTACAGAAGAACTGAGATGACAGACAGTCAGTGAGAATCAGTAAAGGGTGGGGCTTAAGGACCACAGTTGAAGGATCCCAAAGTTCCTCCTCATTCTCCTCTGAAGGGGCTTGCCAACAATGTGTAGAAAAAACCTTTTCTTTTCCGGAAATGAAATCTTTCAAGCCAAACATGCAAACTGAGAAAAAGTTGAGGTGTTCTGGTTGTTGTGTGGGCGGGAGAGGGTGTGCTTAAGGACTAATCATCTCATTCTCCCACTCTCACTCTGTGTGGTAACCCCTGGGTATGTCTTTGTGGCCGCTCTGATTACAGCTTGCAGGCCATTGCCTCTCTGCGTTTCCAACATGTCTTCTCAATGGGATTGCTCAGGTGGGGGGTGGGGATGGTGCCCAAGTACAGCTCTCAGTTTCAGGAACAGCCACAGGAAGCTGCCCACTAGCAGCCCCTTGGAGAATCAGAGCTCTGTTGTGGATGCTCCTGGCCTTGGGCTACCCTGGTCTAGCATGGAGGCTGTGGAGAAAAATGACCTTGGTGACGGCACAGCCCTCTAAAAGGTGCCACCCAGCCCAAGCTAATCTTGCCAAATACAAAGTGTGGAGGGTGGAATAGCCAAGGCAGGGTCTGCAACGAGGGTCTAGCCTAAGAAGCCTCCACCTTGCGCTGGACAAGGACAGGCACACGCGATGCTGTGTGATTCAGATGGAGGGGAGCGAAGCTGGCAAGAACAAATGGTCCCATGCGCAATTCTTTCCTTTTATACAAGTGAAAGGTCTAATTTACGAATCCTGTAAGCACTACCGACTGTGGAAAGATTTGGCCATATGGAAAGGTTTCCTACTGCTGTCTTGGCTGGGGGGAATATTCAGAAGTTTGGAGTAATTGTCAGAAATTAGTCACAGGGACGTTGCAGGGGATGAAGTCAGCATTGCGGCCCTGTGTGTGGGGGTGGAGTCGCCTTCCATCACAAAATGTTTCTGTGAAGGTTTTTTTCCTCCCTCATCTCCCCTCCAAGGAGAAAAATTTCTGCACCTTTCTAGTAACCAAGACTTTGTTCAGTCCCTAGGAAACACCCCTTTGCAGAAGAAGCCTCTGATGACTGCGGCTCTCATTTTAGACAGGCTTTTATCTTCCTTGCCTTCAGGAAGCAGGGGCAGCCCCTTTCATCCAGATGGCTTATCCATGTGCAGGCTCCAGAACTGGTTTGCTTATAGACTAAGACACTGAGGAGCGGTGTGTTACTACCGGGTCCTTCTGGGCCCTCACTTTGAAAACTGACAAAGGATTCAATTGCCTGATGAGGGAATTTGAGGAGCAGAATCTATAGGTTTTGCTGGAACAATAACCCCCAGAGATAACGGGCCATGTTATTATTAACTTTTGTGTATCTCCCCCAAATTCAGTGGTTGAAATGAATTAGTCTACCATGGGAGTCAGATTTAGAAACAGTCTGGCAGAACTCAATGTCTCCCAGGAGGCTGCAGTCAGATGGCTTGATTGTTGGCACTGGATATCCAGGTTGGCTCACGGATGTGGCTGGCAACTGGCACCGGCCGTTGACTGGAAACTCAGCTGAGCTGTTGGCCAGAAGCCCATGCACACGGCTTCAGAGGCACGGAAGTTCCAGGGTCACTAGAGTTCCTGCATGGGGGTGTACGTAGGCTCCTCTAGAGTAAGTGACACAAGGGACCTGGGCAGAAGCGGTGTGGCCTGACAGCCCCAGATCTGTGTCTCACGGCTTCTGCTGCCTTAGTTCGTTGTAGCTGAGTCACTCACAGAGGCCCAGATTCAAGGAAATGAGAGGTAGTTAACCCGTCTTGACGAGGAGACTGCCAAGGTGCTTGTGCATGCTAGCCATGTTCTCCTGAATGAGAGTCCACAGAGAGTTATCCCTTCCCACTTCCACTCATTTTGGGGGCAAGTGACGAACTTTCCCCTGTCTTTTCTGTTTTTTTGTCCAGTACCAAGGGAAGAAACTTTATGTGGTATTCCCTCTTTTCCTTCAAATTCTTAATTCAAAAAGAGAAAGAAACTCATCTTGGCTGTTTACATGTGGGTTGGCAAATGTATCATGTGTGCAGTCCTGTGATGTGATGGGTTCCTGTTCTCAAGCGCTCATGAGACAGCTCGGTGAGGAAGGAAGCCTGCTGTCTTAGTCCCTGTGTATAAAACGTGCAGCTAATGACCCAGCCAGTGCGAAAGCAATGTTACTTGTAGAAGAGGAGACAGAAAGATCCTTAGTGCCAGAGGCTGGAGAAGAATGATTTGAACTAATGCCTACTGGATATGACAAGAGCCATTGTACTCATGAACCCACAGCTGTGGTGTCAGCACAAGACATGCACAAGATCAAGCCTGTCAACATGCCGGTAGGAACAGGGAAGGGGCTCATGAGGTCCCACCCCTGGCTGAGGGGCTATTGGCAGTTGATGGCCACTAGAGGAGGAACAGTCGGGTTTTCTTCAGCTGTTTGGACCCTCACGTAGGGGTATATGCAGATATGATCTAATTACAATGTATTCATGTACAAAATTACCAAGCAAAAAATGAAAATTTAAGAAAGAGAACAATTTTATTGGGAATTGGGAATTTCTGAGACTTGAGGCAGGATCATGGAGGAGGAAAGCTTAATAAACCCCATTGGGGCTGTCCATCAAGATGTTTCCAGGCTGGCTCTCACACTCCCCTGGATGGAGGAAGAACGACATCGAGACTGAGTCACAGTTTTTAACTTTCTGTGTTTTATCCAGAACTCTGCCTGGAAGGGACCAGATGTTGACAGACACTCTTGGACAAGAAAAGCAAGACTCAAAGTTTAATGAAGTTATAAACTACTTCAAACAGACACGTTTCTCACCTCCGTGTCTCACATTCATGTACATTGTTAGCAAACTGCAAACAACTTAAGGAGACTAGAGAGGTGTTCACAGTCCAGGCTGAGTACGCATGCTCATATTCATGTTTTCATCTCCACTGGAAGGAGTTATTGAGAGTCTTGCAAAACCCACCCCCCAAAAGTAAAAAATATAAACAAACCTAACCCAAGCCAAACCAAACCAACCAAACAAAAAACAACACCCCTCCCCCAAACCCCCAAACCAGTTGCGTCACACGGCATTACCCTTTTGTTCAATCAGCTGCACCTGCAAATGTTCATTGCAATGAGTCATTGGTCCAGTTCAAGGACTCTGGTTTCTGGTGCACCATCATAACTGGATCCTCACCAAAACTTCTCTCCGACATCCTGCACCAGCCAGAGTCATGGAGATCCTGTGGGTATCATTCCATAGGGCCAGTCCCTTCACATGCTCCAGCAGGTCAGAGATGGAGTGAATGCTAGGATGGGCCAACCCAAGGCCTTGGATGTGGGCTTAGATGATAGCTGAGCTGGTCAGTCTAGGCAGCTGGCTCCACCCTCCTCAGGTGAAGGGCAAAGCCAGCTCTCCTACACCATGCCATCAAATCCAGTTCTTCCATGCCCATGGTGAGGGGTGGGATCATCTCTCCTGAGTTTGGGGGGCCATGGGACATTGGGGCCAGCTCTCCTGTGAGGGTTGGGGCTAGTTCTCCAGCCACAGTGTCTAGTGAGGGGCAGGGACAGCCCTCCCAGGGCCAATGAAGGGTGGGCCGGCTCAACATGGCCCTTGGATATCATCACACATGGTTCCTATGACCCTTGTAATAACAGGGGCCACAAGCATTGACACAGACCCCAAGTGCAGCGGGACCATGGACCTAGACATGGCCTTTGGCTGCAGCTTGGGCCCAGACATCACTATGGTCCCCGTGACAGCTCAGATCACCCAGATCAGTATGGCCCCAGTGGCAACATGGCTCTTGGACACCAACATAGTCTCAGGTGGCTAACCAGACCCCGGACATCCTCACAGCATCAGTGATAACAGGAGCCATGGACATCAACTCTGACTCTGGCTGCTGTAGGGCCATGGACCCAGACATGGACTTCAGTAGCAGCGTGGGTCCAGACAACACCATGACCCCGGGTGGCAGCACAGGCCACTCAGATCAGCGTGGCTCTAGTGGTGGCATGGCTCTGGGACACTAACAAGGTCACAGGTTGTGGCCTAGACCCCGAGCTTCTGTGTGGCCTTTGGTGGCAACATGGGCCATGGACGTTAACATGGACCCCAGTTGCAATAGGACCAGACCCAGACATGGCCTTTGGCAGCAGCTCAGGCCAGAGGGTCACTATAGCCCCAGGTGGCAGTGCAGGCCACCCAGATCTGCTGTGGGATGGTCTGTATGTCAAATCTGTTCCTCTGATTGGTCAATAAATAAAACACTGATTGGCCAGTGGCTAGG